AATGTGCACCTCTGTCTACCTCTTCTGGGATAAAAGGCGTGTTGGTATGTTACTATTATAAATGGGAAAGTGAGTTTGTTTGTTTGTTCCGCTTTCACGCCGTAACTACTGAACCGATTGCTTTGAATTTTTGCAGACGTAAAGTTAGAAGTCTGGATTAAATAATAGGGTACTTTTTATCCCGGAAAAATATGGTATTCTCGAGGGAAAACGAAATTATTGGTATAGATGGCGCTGTGTGTATTAGCATATGTCACACAGGCTTTTTATCTTTTTGTGATGCGTGCGAAGCCGCGGGTAAAAGTTAGTATTTATTAAAAAGAACCTTGAAAGTATTGGCTCTGACGTGACATGCGACGCTTAAAATTATTTGACTCCGGTCGCAATATTTTGATTGCGAAATCTGTCTATAAGTAGCCCGAAGTCTGGAATTGTTTTCGATTCTTTTCATGGCCAATTATATGGAATTATGGAGTATGAAGTAATTCTGAATATCAATCAATGTAATATAACCTCAATATTATGATAAACAGTGTTTTATTCTGTTATTTCTGGAGTATGGGCTTGGCTTCGTAAGCATCTCGAGTAGGTCCCGATTTTTCTTACAACCTTCAAAGACCTAATTTTTTTTTAATTAAACGTTGCCCCATTCCAAGATTGTCTCCTGTGTCGTGGGTGCGTTCACAAACATACAAGTTCACATACACATGACACCCAGACCCGAAACAACAATTAGTGGGTCAAACAAAGAGTTGCTCCGTGAATCGAACCCGCGATACTTTGCGCAGCAGCCGGTTGTCTAGCCACCGCCACCAATCGTGCCGTCAAATTCGTCGATAGATTCGTTTCCTTTAGATAGATAGAATTTAAACATAACTCCACATAAAATCTCAAAATTCTATCTTTAGTAAGCACATCTACAGATTATCAATAATAATAATAGGTTTTTGAAATCGGCCGTTAGACAGCCTGACAGCTACGCTGATTGGTCTAATACGGTTACGTCTCACTAGCGCCATCTAGTCAACGCAAAATTGATAACATTAAACAACTGGCATAAACTAAATCGGCATAAAGAAAATAATTTAAAACAGTCCACTGTTTTGATGCAGTTGTCACAAAAAAGGATAGAGTTAGAGATAATTTTTATAACACTAGTAACACTGTGACTTCAAAACAACATGGGTTATGTATGACTCATACAGCTCATTCTACGCGACAATGTAGTACTAAATGAAGAAAATGTTCAAGTAATTGAGTAGAATTGAATAAATGCAAGCTTCTTTGAACACAACACAATAGTTAGTAGAATTATTGTATTGTCTGGACTTATTTTTACACTCCTTGTTGACGCGACGAACTCTGTGTCGCCTCAGAATTAATTGGCATTAATTGGTATATCGAGTTCAATAATGAATAATGATGTATTAAATTTTGTTCCTTGTCAAATATAATAAGGAGTTAGGGCATAAATTAAACAAATAGAGGAATAGGGAAACCAAACAATAAAATCACTTGGTAACAAAAATGATGATTAAAAAAAAATACGTCTGTTTACTATAATACTATAAAAACTCATTTCTAATATCTAAGAAACAATTTAATAAGACTGTATAAACAAAATTAATCAATCACTATAATACAAAACACGTTCAATGCAAAAGTAAAAAAAAAAAATCACTATCAGAAATACCGCGAAAACAACTGTCAATACCTAATCCTGGCTATGACACTGCTCTATTCAGCCTGTAGCTAATTTTTATATATAAACATCGGTATGAATGAGTCTTTTATGAATAAAAACAATAACAGTAGGTTTGTCACCTAATAAACATCGGTATGAATCATGAATAAAAACAGCAAAGTTAATTCGAGTAAAAATAGTTCGAAACTAGTTTTTGCACAATAATAAACTAATGACGTAGGTACGTATATAATCTGTGTACTTCATACGTAATACCGAGAAAAAACATTACCGTTGTACCACAAACAAAAAAAAAGAAAAATTAAAAAGTAAATAGGAAGGAGTGTTGTTAACTGCGAAATCGACTCGCAAGTTGCTAATTCGTTTTCAAAACGACAATATCGATTCAGTAATGCGTCTCTCACTCACTCAGTCTTTAATATTCATCAAGCAGCGATACTGGATTTTTGCAACACACATTCTAAGCGGAAAAACATGTTAGCATTATACAAACTGCTATAATTATAGGTACGTACGGCTGATACTTTATTCTTACAAGGCCGTTCGATTAGTTACTGTACTCAATAACAGATGGCAGTAAACTCAAATACACAGTTGCTACATGTGGATACTAGATGACGTTTAAATTCGCAATGACTGCGAAATTTTCTCAGAATAAAGTTATTTTTAGTACTAAATAGTTAATTAACGTCTTGAATGTCATAAAAGTACACTCAATTCAAGTTATTTATTGGTCTCTAAAAGTTTAATTTTCAAATTCATCTGTAACTATAGTCGGTCAGCGACAAATTGGCGCGCGCCACAAGATGTCTCCACAGATAAAATAAATACAATGTCTAATATTTGTGCAGCTGCGTATACCGTCACAATTAGTATCCAATTGTTACTTAATTACTGTTGTCGACCTAAGAAACTTAATTATAATATTTCAATGTCATTTTAGTACGTGAACGCGAAAGTTTTGTTTGTATAGGTGCATGTCACTCTCTCACGTGTTTAGCAAACAGTAAACATCGACCTTGGCGAGTCACAACAACCTATGTAATTGTAGTTTTGCTTACTAAATATACAATTTTGACATTAGCTCCGTGCAAAATGTAATATTGTATACATAATATTTTTTTTACATAAATATAAGTCTGCATCGCTGGCCGAGTGGTCGTAAGTGCGACTGCCGGGCAAGGTTCGATTCCCGTGTCGGGCAAAGTATTACTGGGTTTAACTCGTCGAGTACCGGTTTTATAGACACAATTAAAGAACAATAGGTCGCGGTCACCGGTGACCGCTTGGTGTTTGACAGTTTAAAAAAAATCTCAGTAGTATCTGAGTGGAGCCCACTCAACGTCAGCAGACATCGCGGCAGGCCCAAAAGATGGTGGGACGAATTAGACATCTATGACAAGGATTGGCCGCAAAAAGCTTTACATAGAGAGGAGTGGAAGGAGGGTAGGGAGGCCTTTGCCCTGCAGTGGGACGATCATGGCTGAAAATAAATAAATAGTAGCACGGAGTCTGGAATTGTGACCTGTAGGTATATGGCAATAGGCACACCTATTACATGGGACTCATAACATAAATTAACATAAATAGTGAAAAGTGGGTGTTACATTGTACAGTGGCATTAAGTGCCGTAATGTGCACCTCGGCCTACTCCTTCGAGGATATAAGGCGTGATGTTATTTAGTAGACTGGAGACTTGTAAAACCTGACCGGGTCCTCAGTTACTCTTTACGAGAACGAGTTTGTTTATAAATAAAAAGACATAATCGGGCGGCCATTTTGAAATTGTATGAATGCGTATATTGATAGTCATGACGTAAGCTGTAGAATGAGATGACGTCCTTAGCAACTTCTTTTTTTTCATTTGCAAAGGAAAGACAGCATTTTGAAGTCTTAGCGAATAGGGTAGATGCCTAATATTTATTTAATCTCCGTCTGGTAGGTTATTTTAAATCATTACACACGTATTTTTTATTTTCTTACAGAAACGAATACTTTCGGCGATATATTGATTTGAAATGTCGCGTGACGTCACTTCTATGTGCATTTAATACGTAGAAATGACGTTTTAGCCCCCACTCCTAAACTTTGATTCGTTTTATCTAATTATTGTTTTATTATACAACAAATTAAAAAATAAGTGTAATATTTTTTCATTACCTAACTGACGGACTAATTAGATTTTTAATTTTCATACCCTGTCATCATCCCAATTGCTAAATACCTAGTTACTTAGTGCAAATTGGGAAATAATTTTAAAGATGACTTGTTTGAAAGGAAATGTATCGATAACGTAATCGGAATCAAGTTATACCTATTAATATTTTAGACACTTTTTGTCACTATAATCGGGTACTTTCCTTAATCAAAAATAAATTATTTCGACTGTTCAATACAATAAAATGTTAAAAAATAATCACACTTTCATTAATTGAATTTATGACCAACTTAATTTTAGCATTTTTCCAGCATTTTTTAAGAAATTAGTATGCTGTTTGACGCTAAAAGTATGGTTGTATCTACTGTAGATCTGGATGTACAGGAGTTGCATTGGTTTTGGGAGGTCGTCGTCGTCACCGCATATTTATTAAAGTTTTATTTATATCTTGAATTCCATATATAAATATATTCTTTCTTTCATCAATTCGTGTAAATAAATTCGTAAGAACAACTTTTGCAAGATGACGTGAATAGAACAGGTCTGTTGCGCATGCGCGTGAAACGGTTTCAACTCTTAAAGCAGTGGTTCCCAACCTCTTCAAGATCACTTTTTTGTATCATTGTAATAACGGTTTTTTTTTGAGGGAGAAATCATCCAATGGTTTATGCCGCTTCGTGTGAGGCGAAAGGGAATTTCAAACTCTTACTGACCAGAACCGCTCTGTTCTTACGCCTGTTTCGAGCCGGAGCCGAGATAGACAATAAGATTTTCTCCAGTCATTCGCATAAAAATAGTGACTTTGGATTATTGAAATCAGTTGTCTCCTCAGACATAAGTTTAATATACTTACGTATATAAACTCACGCCTGTCCCCCATGGCAGGCAGAGACTATGGAACCCCAATTGCTACGATTCCTACATACCTCTTTCACTTCATCAACAGTCATCAGTCTTTTCATGCATGCTAAGTTTAATTCGAGAATAAACCGTAATGCAATGAAATAGACAAGACAGAGTTTTTTTTTTCATTTCGTGGACCTTCATTTGTATTCTGTGGAAGACAGGTGGTGAGCGGACCACTGGTTGTCAAAGTCAAAAGTCAAAGTCAAAATCATTTATTTCAATTAGGCCAGAATGGCACTTTTGAACGTTTTGGGAATCACTGTCTTAAAACAGACGTTTACGGTAAAATACAACCTTTTTTAGCTCAACAACGATTTTACCTTGCGTACATTGAAATGAAAGGGTCTATAAGACTTACATTTACGTCATAGTCTCTTAAGGAAAAGATAAACACCGTTATACTTCTAACGTCAAAAGGAAATCCGTAATAAAATTGGCTTTCCGTCCGCAAATTCACCCACTGCTATGAATCCTTTTACAAATTTCATTTAAAACCTTTCTTTGATACACAAATATACGCGAGAACTATACATGCCGCGGAGGACCTAATTCCATAAAACTCCAATAAGAAATATTGCTGTCGCTTACTCTGAAATAACTGTCGAACTAAAACAATTTATTATAGCCGTATTTTTAACTATTGGCCCGAAACTTTCTTTTACATAGAACCTTTATGAATTCTGTGACATGTCCCCGAGAAATGACACTTTTTCAAAATTACACCTTGTATATTGATTTTAATCTTATACGTATAGATTAAAATACATAAATTATACGACCATTGACCTAGTCGTCCCGCAAACGTAACTGTTGCACTTGACGACCCGGATTCAATGTTTAAATCCGTTATTTTTATGTTACATAACATTTGTTTTAACCTCAAAAAACCTTATCGGCCATGGATACCTTGAACACCAGACGCGTAACAAGTGCGTTACCGGCCTTTTGGGGATTAGGAATTGTAGGATTTTTGGGGACTCAGGGTAATTGGGTCTCCGGTAACCTCACTCACACGAGGAAACACAATACAAGATTGCAAGCGTTGTTTCACGTCGGTTTTCTGTGAGTATTCCGGCCCAGCCCTGTTTCACTTCAAGCCTGCAGCTTTATTACCAACGTCAACGATTTTAGTCGTGGAGCGGAGGGTGGTGTTCCTAATTCTGTCTGATAATCGAAGTCCTAAGATACTGCCTATTGATGAGGAGTCCTTTTAAAGAAATTAGCACACATAGGGACTACAGACAAACAGCGAAAAGCGACTTTATTTTTTAATTATAAATGGTTTAATTTTCTTTTTTTCTTTTTCCAGATCAGTTCCATAAACAAGCACACACTATCTGGCGGCCAGGTGTTAGTGAACCAATGTCAAGTCCCAGACAATTTCTCTGAAGTAAAACAAGCCTTAGAAACTGTACAAAAGAACTCACAATACTTACAAAATGACAGAGAAACTTACCTACAAGATGTTATGGAACTTATCAAGGAAGATACCATTGTTAAAACCATCCCACAAGTCGTTGTTACACCTGAATACGAGTACCAACAACAACCGTCCATAGACTATGTCAAAAAGCCATCTGTCACAAACTATTCTGAACAGTATGCCGAAAAAACCATGCAACATAATGATTTGATGCAGTTGTTAGAGGAGAATTATGATATGTCACCACAATCTATATCGAATTCCATAGACCAATTCGGTCATGAGCAATTCACCGATATCTTTAATTACGTCCAAAAAGAATACAGCCAAACTTCAAACGATGGTTTTGTTAACGCAGAATATACTTATCCTACTCCACCGCGCTCCGAAACGGTACCCAGTCCCATGTCAGCGTCTCCCGGATCATTTTATCCAACAAACTCCGAATACACACTGTCCCCGGAAAGATCGCCGATATACAACTGCGATTACGAAAAATATCAAGAGATCCCCCATTTTGAAGAAGAAAAAGAAGCCACAGATAAAAAAGCGCGGGAACGCACCGCCTCTATATCGTCTATGACAATGAAACAGTTCAAGGATATGCAAAAGGAGATCGTACATAATTTCTCCAAGAAGGATTGTTGTGAAGTTACAAGGAAATCGTGCAAAGAATTGTTTAAAGAGCATCTACAACGAATCAACCCGGCTGCGAGGAAGAATTTGTGCATGAACTTCGCTAAATTAGATCTGACAGAAGCTTACAAGTAAGTGAATTTTGTTGATTTTTCAATATGTCATTCATTTGCTGGCAGAATAATTCACTGCTAAATAAGAAGAATCGGTTTCGTTCCCATCTCGATTTATTTATTTATATGCTTTATTGTACACATTTAAGTAGCTTAAAACAAACAATTCAAGTAAATATGCGCACAATGGGCGGTCTTATCACACAATGGTGATTTCTTCCAGACAACCTTTGGATGGAAATATTTGTAAGAAACCAGATAAGGGGTAGTTAAGTGTACAATAAAAAAAAGAAATAAAATACCTACAATAGATATAATATACTAGCAATATATAAAAAAGAAATACAGAAATAATATATAAAAATACAATAAGCTATGTGTGAGTGAGTGTGTGTACGATTTCCCGGTTCGATCTTGAAATGCGATAAAATTGTCTAGTAATAATCGGGAGCTACCATTTTTACTCACCAGGTGGAGCTCAACTGTCAACCTCTCGTTTTTCGTGGTATAAAAATAATATGACTAGTAAAACAACCAAAATCTTCACAAATAGAATGAAATAACATCATATTATATTGTTTATTATGTTGTAGTTTAACTTGAAAAAACTTATAATATTCGCTATATTTTCCTTAACTTAATTGCGTCAATATAATATATACATATAAAACATATATAGTTGTTTCATGAGGAAAATTAAAACATAGTCGAACTGATTCATGCAACTTCTAACATGATCTGTGCTATGGAGCCAAATACCATCCTTACTAATATTATAAATCGAAAAGTGAGTTTGTTTGTTTGTTTGTTTGTTTGTTCCGCTTTCACGACGTAACTACTGAACCGATTGCTTTGAAATTTTGCAGTCGTGAAATTAGAAGTATTGATTAAATAATAGGGTACTTTATATCCCGGAAAAAATTGATATTCCCGAGGAAAAACAAAAGTATTGGTATAGATGGCGCTGTGTGTATTGGTATATGTCACATAGGCTACTTTTTATTCTTTTGTGACGCGAACGAAGCCGCGGGTAAAAGCTAGTGATTATATAAAAATGAAACCCGTTTCCCGTTGTCACGACATAACTTGAGAACGGCTAGCCCGATTTGGCTGATTCTTTCTTTTGTTGTATTTATTATTGTCAGTAGAAGGTACTTAAGACAAAAAATCCTGAAAATTCTTTGGGAACGGGAGAAATCGGGATTGCGCGTACGAAGTCGCGGGCAGAAGCTAGTAGCAAGATGATTTTAGGGACCAATGTGAAACTCGTACATCGAGTTTATATTCCTTGATTTATATAAAAAAAAAAACAAGCGAATAACCTTAATCTGTGCAAGAATATATAACGGTATATATTAAGTGATTCACTTAGCTTGAACGAAGGCCATTTAGTAAAAAAGTTGTTCATAACAAGTCAGGCTCGCCTACAAGAATTAGCTCACCATTTTCCTAAAACACAACGAAAACATGTAACACATAAAAACTTCATAACATCACGCGTTTTACCCCCGAAGAGGTAGGCTAAGGACATTACGGTACTTATTGCCACTGTACAATGTAACACTCACTTTTCACTATTACGTTATGAGTCCCATGTAGGGTGAGCCTATTGCCATATACCGGGCACAATTCCAGACTCCGTGCTACTACTGAGAATTTTTAAAAACATCAGTAATACTTTGCTCGCACCGGGAATCGAAACTGAGACCCCTAGCCCGGTACTGCCACTTGCGACCACTCAAGGCAATACTGGAAATACTGCTCATGAAATACTAGACGTTTTGTAAGCACTGTTCGCATCGCACGTGCCATCCGACGAGAAATACCTCTTCGAGAATTACATGGCGGGATGTTTTGATAATGTACTGTAATGAGATCGTATGCGCTTTCGAAGTTTGCTTTTTGCAATGGTTCACCAGTTATTTTTTATTTTAAACATTTTATTTCTTTGTAAAACTATTGTATTACTGAGACAGAACCATTTTACTTCGGGACGAAAACGAAATAGATTTCACGGTGTTAGAAAGTCCACAAAATAATGGTTCATATTATTGCCTATAAAAAGAATAAACTTTTGACATAACCCCTATTTTCTCCCAATCCAGTGTGTTAGAACCGATCCTGAAGAATTTGTCGAAGAGCTCTGAGAAAGAAGATGTGGAGTACTGTCTGTTCACCATGATCTGCGAGAGGATGCTGGCGCAGGACCCTGCTCTATTCGTTGGAGATGGTAAGTGTTGTATTGGTGGATTAATGATTATAACTTGGATTCGTTGTACTGGACTTTATTGCAATTACATTTATATTTAACTAGCGACCCGCCCCGGCTTCGAACGGGTGCAATATGCATGTATTACACATAAAAACCGTCCACCTCTCGCGTGTTTCTCGTACCCACGGGTGTACGAGAGAGTTGTGCCCATCACGCAATTGTACACACGGGTGTACGAGAAACGCGCACCGATTGGATATTTTTTCTGTGTCATGTAGTTTCAAGTTTGCAACCCGTTCTTTATTTGATTGAACAGAATAGTTCATTCGCTTTTCTATTAAAATATTTACCCGTGTGTACAAGAGGCGCGCGTGAGGTTAAGAATCACTCTTAAAGAAAACAGCATTAAAATCCGTTGCGTAGTTTTAAAGATCTAAGCATACATAGGGACAGACAGACGGTGGATAGCGACTTTGTTTTATACTATGTAGTGATGGGCAGAGCACAGGATGTGTTCCATCAAAATATGACTGTCTATCTGTAAATAAGGTATAATACCTTATTTATTACACCAATTCTCACAACTTAAAAGACCGCCACCGAAATTGTAACGCCTCTAGTGTTCCGAGTGTCCATGGGCGGCGCTGATTGCTTACCATCACGTGATCCGTGTGCTCATCAAAGAGCGCTGCTTCCCGGTCTCTGTCTAATGTGTAGTCCGTTAGTCGGGTATGTGACACCCGCGGGAAGAGTAGGGCTGGTGACAGGATGTTTGCTCCTCTATCTGACGTCCATGACCGACTCATTGACATAAAAATTTAAATTGTAGCTTTCTTTGACCCTCGAAATGACCAAATCTGTTCGTTTTACAGCAGGCCTAAGTATCCTGAAGTCAGCAGCTCTCCGGTGTCCCAACAGGCCACTGCTCACCAGGTACCTGGTGGAATGCATTCGAAAAGCCATCAAGGCCAATCCCAACCTCGTTGCGAACAGGGAATACATTTTCCATGAGGTAATGTTACTAATAAAATCATAATTTTGTCTTACTTATATAATTAATGCGATAATTTGTGTATGTTTGTTACTTAATCACGTCAAAATGGCTTAAGGTATCGGTATGAAATGGGAACAGGGGTTGATTTTAAAAAGTAACGAATGGAGTTTCTTGCTCGTTCTTCTCCATTCGAATCTACATTTTGGAATGAGCACCTAGCTTCACCTAGCTTCACTAACGGACTGACTGACAGACTTTTATTTATTTTGTATTAGTTGACGTTTCAAAAGTACCAAACTATGATTTAATTGAAATAAATGCTTTGACTTTGTGTGGAATAAAACATAGAAGATTTTTATTCCACAGGAACGCATGCCGAAGCTAGTTTATTAATATAAATCATTATGTATAATCGTCATCACATTAATAAGACGTAAAAACGAATTATTTCAACTTACTAAAACAATAAAATACTCCACACTTTCTGTAATTAATTTGCCGAGATGCATAATTTTTATATTTTTCTACATTTTCAAAATCATTGCGGAGATGTACAATTCTGCATACAATATTGTAGTTGCGGTCCTTACTTATAGATGGCGTTGTCATATAATATTGCAATATTTTGACATAGTTATTTCTTTATTCCGGGACACCGTTTTTAGTCAGTAAGATTCCTGACACTTCCTCTCACCTCATCCAAGGCGGTAGAAGTTATTGGATGATTTTTCGCCCTTGCAAGAAAAGGTGCTTAATTATTAAATATCAATTATTTATTTTCAGGTGGACGCTTTAGGCGATAACTTGGTGATAGCTTGCGCCCGTGCGGGTGACAGTTGTGCTGACGTACTGAGCGAGCTGGTGAGACCGTACGACGGTCAGCCACCACTGTTCAGACTTAGGCACACCAACGCTGATGGTAAGATATACTTATTATTATAAAGATGAAGAGTTTCTTTATCAACTTACACTCATCAGATAGACCATTGCTGGAATATGAGGCTCCTCTACATAAGAGACATTTTTATAGCTACAACCAAAACTTGAACCTTTTGCGATCAGCAAAGAAGTTGTACTCTCTGCCAGAGTCTGGGTTTCCTGAAAGGAGCCTGGGTGTCTCCCAAGGCCAGAGTGAATAAGTTGCTTATGTAGGCGTGCATCATCGCTTAGCCCCCTTACGCACTAGCGGTCAATCGCGCGGCTAGCCGCTTCCTGCGGTTGGCCGCTTTTCCATTTTAATATGCAACCGCTATGGCAACCGCATCTGTTGATACGAACCGCCTAGGCGGTCGACCGCTATTGCGTAAGGGGCTTACCACTAGACGAGATAGCAGCCAAACACCAGCCCATTACGAATAATAATTCTTTTATAAACTACGTTTAAAAAAACTGACTTCAACCTATTCTTTTTTTGAAATTAACAAGTGTAACAAACACTGTTGAAAACCGCATTAAAATTGATTTAATAATCGCGAGATAATCGCGCAAAAACATGTAAGTAAAAAACTAAGAACCTGCTTTTTGAAGTCGGTTATAAAACCTACCCACACATTGCCGTAACAGGAGTAGCGATGGTAACTAATATTTGATATATTTATTGCAGGATATACAGCATTGCATGTGGCCTGCAGTCAGCACAGCGCGGCCAGTCCGCGCCTGCACACCGTACACGTCCTGCTCGTACACGGTGACTTTGATATTACTGAGGGGGTGAGTTCATTGTACTATCTCATCCAGTTCAACTTAAAAATTGACGTGTTAACGTGGTACTTTGTTACCTATTTCCATATTACCTATTTCCATTCTATACTGATACAACTGGCTACAGGACTCCAATTGATGAATATTAACTTCTCCGATGAAGTCATTACCAGCAGACGAATAAGAATAATTTTATTTTGCAAAACAAAGTACAAGTACCTATACTTACCTATTATTTAACAAAAGACGGATTACCTGATGATAAGCAAGTTGTTATTGGACCTCCAATAATAAAACATCACAAACATTGTATTACATCGGTTTCCTGTGCGGTCGTGGTATCACTCTAATCGAACCGACCGAAGCATAATTTGATGAAGTTAAATAATAATAATTAATTAAATCCTAAAATTATATTGTTTCAGGATCTGAAAGGTGGTGATACAGCCCTACATCTAGCTGTGAACTCAGTCCACTGTGATCTACAACTCATTCTGATGATTTTCAAAAACATTGATCGCAAGGAATGGAAGAATTTGGCTCACCATCGCAATCTCAGGTAATTAACATTGTTTATAATTTTATTATCTTCGTCAGCCACTTGTGGCAGTCCATTGCTGGACTACTACATAAGAGGGTTTTCCATAATACCCACGCTTGGCAGACGGGTTGGAGATCACAGTATAAATGGATCAGGTTTATTAGAGCGCGCTGCTGCCTGGTCTCTGTCAAATGTGTAGTACCTTAGTCGGGTATACGGTACATTGATTATACATAAATTATTTATTTGATGTGTGTTAAATTAATTTGTTTTTTTGTCCCACAGTGGTAAGACGCCCTTGGATCTCACGCGCACGGCCGCGAAAAACAAATCCCGAATTGAGTATCCACAAGAAGTCCTAGATTTCCTCAAAAAATGCCGTTAAAAGAGAAATTAACAAAAAATAAACGCTAAAGAACTAAAAATTTAGTGTTTAATGTTAAACTACAAAATTTACACATCCTGTATATGTTAGACAGGTTTTTATACATCTGTATATCAAAGTCAAATCTTTGGATTTGAAAGTAATATGTTAATACGGTTCATAATTGTTTACACTAACTTGTGCAATTACAAACGAAGTTAGACTTTATTACAATGTGTATTAAGTCGATTTCTATTCGAGAAGTAGATGGTTAGGGCTTGCAATTATGAGCTTTATTGTAAACCATGTTATACAATTACGGTACATTTTAAGACAAGGGTCAAGCCTTAGAAGGGCTATGCCCAAGAAGGCTAAATTCAATGGCACATATTTGACCCAATCTTAACTATAAGAACTACTTGTTTGACAATATAAATATAAAAATGGAGATTATATTATACATCTCTTATTATAAAAAGGACTTATATCGGGTGAAAAGAGTTCTCGGTCACAATTTTAAACAATATTAAAAACTAATAACTTTCACGTCGTTTTCGTTAAGAAAACAGCTCCAATACGGAAGTTATAGTTAAATAAATATGTTTTATTTGATACCGGAAAATTTCTTACCTACTCAAAATGTCAAAAAGCCCGCCAATTTTGTTGTAAAAGTTCAGTGAACTATTGACATATGGAAGACAAAAAATGAATACTGTTATGACTTTCAAGATGGCGGATGTTTTAATTTGGGAATTTGCGAAATGCAAGGTAAAATCTACTAATATTTGAAGTAATATGTTGCTACATGTTTAAAATCATCTTTGAAATATGTTTAAGGTCACAAATAATGACCCTATAAGAAGAGAAAAGCTTGGAATAGACAATACACACGTATTATTAAAAAAAATCTGTTATTTCGTGTGATTTACACAGAAAAGAATATATTCTATGAATCAATGATTATTGGCTCTCAAATTGAGATGAAAATATACTTTCACTGAAAAAACTATTGTATATAAATAAAAATTAATATTTTTGATAAAAATATATGTATTTTTACAGAAATGGTTGTGCGAAACACGATTTAGGATTACGTCTAGTTTTTAAGTTTTATTACGATATTATTTCGCGCCGTAACTTTTAAGAATTTATTAAAATAAATAGTTATAAACCTTTTTGGATATTTCATTTTATTGTCAAAATATCAAATTACACAAAATAACAAAAGAAAACTTACATTTGAAAATAAAAAGAGATTCATTTTCAATTCAGTTGGCGCGAAAAATATTAAGTAGAATAGGTACCTAATTATCGTAGATATTGTAGACAGTTAACTAAAAAGCAGTTATTACTAAGCCCAATTTGAACATTAATCATGTTAAGTACTAATTATTTTTAGTAAAATGTCTTACAATAGGATTTTAGTTATAAAAGAGCGTATTAAATATATTTTAGGTCGACGGCCATTCGTAAGATTACAAAATCAGTATTTTTACTGTCATTTACCATGAAAAAATGGCGTCGGCAAAGAAATAAAAAGCAAAATGACTAAATTTTATCAGTCATAATTATTATATATTAAATATTGGTACCATTAATTATAATTTAGATGTTGTTACGATTATAATTTTAAGTTAAAATATGTTAAATATCCGATTTGACTCTTTGATGTTAGAAAGTTGATGTTTTGACTAAAAATCATATTAAATGCGTATTATTTTGTCAATATTCTTGTGAAATGAGTAAAATTGCATTATTTTATTGGTCTAAATTTTTGGACTACCAAGGTAGGTGGTGCTGTTTTATTTTTGCCTAATTTCATAGTTTGTTGAAACTTAGATTTCGAAAATGTTTTTGTTTATTATTTGATCGAAGAGTTAATCTAGGTGTTAGTTCGTAAGTCTGTAAGTAAGCGTTATCATGGCGAGTTATAATAACGCAGTGCGTCTTCTTAACAATTTATGAAAATTAATGTTTTTTATCTAAATTTGATATCAACCGATTGATCAATCTCTTGAAATGGTAGATTTTTTCATGTAATTAAAAATGTAATGGTGTAATTGACAAAAATAGATTAAAAAAAATATAATATAACTTAACGGATTCAATATTGAGAACAACGCCATCTGCACTTTGTCTCACGGAACTAATTAGAAGAAATTAAAAAATTATATCTATTTTCCTTGAAAGTGTAACCATAAAAAATCATCATTTTATATTTCTAACGTCTTTATATGGAGAATTAAAGTATCGTCAACATCGTTATGAACATTTTTTAATGTCAATTTATTTTAGACGCACTGTAAATATTCTTTAATTATTAACTCAGCCCACACAACATAATAATAAAAATAAGTTTTAGTGTTCAAACTAAAACTAAATATATACGAATAACATAATAGATTATAGATTTACCTATTGAATTTTTACATAATTTTAAGTGATTAGTTGTAAGATTGAAGAAATTGTTCACAAATTCAAACATATAATTATGTATTTTTAAATGACACATTGTTTTGTAGAAGTTTTTCTTATGTATAAATAAATCGGTGTGAATAAGAACGAAATTAAAACTTTAAATGCGAAATAACATTATGTATTTTTGCATTATTGTGCGACATATTAAATTCATTGTTTTCCGATTTACTCACGTAACTTTGACGAAGTGATTCGACTAGTTCCAAATAACGATAGGGTCACAATGGGGTAGATGACTAATTTTTATTTTAATGTCCGTCTGGTAGATTATTTTAAAACATTAGACACGTATTTTTATTTTCTTACAGAAACGAATACTTTCGACGATATATTAACTCGTCGAGTACCGGTTTTATAGACACAATTAAAGAACAATAGGTCGCGGTCACCGGTGACCGCTTGGTGTTTGACAGTTTAATTTGAAATGTCGCGTGACGTCACTTCTATGTACATTTTATACGTAGTAATTACGTTTTAGCCCCCACTCCTAAACTTTGATACGATATCTAAGTATCATTTTATTATACGACAAAATTAAAAAATACGTGTCTAATATTTTTTTCATTACCTAATTGATGGACTAATTAGATTTTTAATTTTCATACCCTGTCATCATCCCTATTCAACGAGCCAATGGTTGGTTCTTGACGCTCTTCTCCATTGTCGCAAACGCTGATTCAATAAGGCCTACCGTATTTTTGCTTAACAGATGGCGACGGTGTGAACCTCTCTCTTCATCCATTATAGAATTAGCTAGTACACCTTTGAACGTTTCATTTTCGACAACTGCTTTTATTAGTCAAAATACCTATTCCTACATTTGTGCCGTCATATGAGCAAAAATATGGTAGACCCCAACGGCTGGCGAATATCTGAATACTGAAACGCTACTCAATTTTAAGTCGTGCTTAAGTATAGTTCTATCTCTACAAATTCTTTGTAAAACGACAGAGATGGCACGATATTTGAGCACGACTTAAAATTGAGTAACGTTTCAGTATTCCGGCATTAGCTACGTAACTTAGAACAGTCTTAGTCTGCGTTTCAAAAAGTAAATATTAAACTAGTGGTAATTGTTTCTATTTCGTTCTTATTTACACCGTTAATATCAAATGCAATGTCTATTTTAATTTTAGAGATGACTTTATACGAAACATATAAAAATATAGGACCGCCTGTAAAGAGTTTTTTGGTAAATTTTAAATAAAAAAGCGTTTGATGAATTACGTATTGTACCTTTTTAAAAATGTGATTTTTAGGTTATGTCCTGATGATGTTGTTTATTTGTCTAAAATGTATGTTTTTTATTTGTTTTATTATTGAAATGTAATGATTTAATACGTACCTTTTATCTATTGTTTAATTAAAAAAGAAAAATCTGCAATTTATATCGTATTTGATCTCTATTTCGCAAGATGAATACATTAGTACATTCTAACGGAAAATCCTGAGTTTTATTTTATCTTCACAATAATATATCAGTTAAAAGACGTTCATTGCTGAACGTAAACTTCCCTCAGCGACATCCAGATAAAATATCCTATAATTAACGTTTTTTTTAAACGAGCCGGTCGGTAAACGAGCAGACGTGTCACCTGATGGTAAGCAATCTGCGTCGCTCATGGACACTCGAAACACCAAGGCGTTACAAGTGCGTTACCGGCCTTTTGTGGAATTGGGAATTTGAAGATTGTGGAGGATTCGGGAGACGGGGACTAGGGAGGGGGGTAATTGGGCCACCGGTAATCTCACTCACACAACGCAAGCGTTGTTTCACGTCGTTTTTCTGTGAGGCCGTGGTATCACTCCGTGTCCAGAAGTCCCGGATTGAACGGGACGTCCCTTTTTAACTCGTCGAGTACCGGTTTTATAGACACAATTAAAGAACAATAGGTCGCGGTCACCGGTGACCGCTTGGTGTTTGACAGATTAATTACATCCTGTTGTCCCCGGAATGGACTCCGAGACGCAAAATTATTCCGTATTCGAAAACCGCGCGATTTGAATAGTTGTTGACGACGGCGACGTGACGGCCTTTCGAACGGTACAAGTGGTGTGCGAGAGCGCAACATCACTTGATTTACTGTTTGTATTTATTTGTTATGTTTGTGCGGTATTAGGTTTTATAAATCGTTAAAATATTATCCTCTCGCATGCCTCGTTGGCTGAGCCGACTGCCGGGCAAAGGGTTTCGAGTTCTAGTCCCAGGTCGGGCAAAGTATTACTGGGTATTTAATAAATTCTCAGTAGTAGCACGGAATCTGGAATTGTGCCCGGTAGGTATATGGCAATGGGCTCACCCCCTATTACATGGGACTTAACAATATTGTGCAGTGTAATATTAACCTTATTATTGTTGGCAAAGTTTGTGCTTACAAGATCTATAATAGGTAGCTACCAGGTGTGTCACTGAATCCAAATACCTAAATGAATGTCCTGTTTTGAGTCTTAAAAATAAATGGTCACGTTAGATATAACCTAAATGAATATTTGCTTATGAAGGCGCGGTTCATCGTTGGCTGCATCATCGTTTACCACCAGGCGAGATAGTGGCCGATCAAACTCAAACGCATTTATTTCAATTAACTCGTCGAGTACCGGTTTTAT